CCAGTAATACTTGGTTCTTTCATCTCAAGCATCGAAGCACGTCCAGTCTTTGGCCAAATGACAACGCCGTTTTGTGGCAAAACGAACAATTCGAACTTCTCACGACACTTTGGTGCGACATCATCGTTATTATGATCCTCAGGTTNATTGTTCATTTTGAATCCTTTCGACCCTCCTGTCAAGTAGATTGTAGTCTTCCAGGATGCTTGTTTCATATGGTATTTGATGATGTTTCCACGATCACAAAGACCCTTACACGAATGCCATTTATGACTTGCCTTCAGATCGTCGCCGTTTTTGAAAGTGAGAAAAGAGTTGGTCCGCTCGAATAATTGCTCTTTTTTCTGAAAGTTTTTCAAATTTATAAAAATTAAAAACAAGTTTTTTCAATGCACCAGAAAATTAAAAATTTTATGCATTTTCCTAATATTATCGCAGAGAATTTTTCAAAAATCTGAAATCCCCGAAAAACGCCATCGAATATAATTCAAAAAGATAGGGATGAGAAATATGGATGATAAGGATGAGCATTTAAATTCCGACCAGGGGATATTCAGCATCGTCTTCTGTCAACTGTGCATATGAAAAATTCGGAATACAAGGTGAGGCAAAAGTCTGGTAACCAAAGTTTGACGCACGCTGGCGCGCGCTGACGCACTCTTCATGTTTTGATTTTATTTTTATATTTTTCTTCAACTCTTCATTAGTAGATTTGCAAAGTTTCATGTTCATATCTTATTTTTTTAGGACGATGGCACTACTTTATGTACACCTTCTTTGATTTTTTCCTGTTTTTTGCAGATCCTTGTGAGAAAGCCAGTGGGCCAGGAACACTACTTCTAGGGAAAATCATGATGTCTAAATCATCGTGCCAAAAAGCTCGCAAAATTAAACTACCTAAAAAGATGTAGAACCTACTCACACGGAAAAACGTGTTCAGCGGAAAGTGCCAAAACCAGTTTTTCCAACTTGATCCCCACAAAAAGAATGACATGTGTTGAGTCAGATCACAATTCAATGGGGATTTACGTGCAGCAAACTTTTAAAGCATTCGTTCATGTTTGTTTTCACAGGATTTCGCGAGTTTTCTGAACTATTCCCGGCGGAATGGAACAATTTCCCCGCAGACGACCCCCGTGCGACCATAGATTCTACCCGAAGAAGTTGAGCCCCGCCATCTGAAATAGAGCTGGCAGAAAAAAACAACTATTATATAATTTTGTTACAAATCTCTTTAATGAAGTTCTGTTAAAATTTGAAGCTGATTCAACTATTTTCCGAGAAGTTATGGCGTCTTCTTTTGGTTACCAGACTTTTGCCTCACCCTGTATAGGAATATCGAAAAATTCCAATTGATCTTTTCGAAATTTTCGGAATTTTTAAAAATGCAAACTTCAAAGTAGAAATACCATCTTCTCATAACAAAAACACCAAAAAATGACGAAAATTGACTTAAAAATTTCGACAGCGCAAAAAATCAAAAGCAGCTCAAGCTTCTTTTTTTATTTTCGGAAATATTCCGAACGGAATTTCGTTCTGAAGTGTTACGACGGCGGGACGTCCTTCGTGGCATAGGTTTCTCACAGCGCAGTAACTCTTAAACTTTTCAACAGCGTTTCTCAAGGTTTTTGGGGATTTTTTTGAATTTTTTCGCAATAATATTAGGAACATACAAAATATTGGAAACATTTTGGTTCAAAAAAAGTTTTTTTCGGAAGCACCCAATTCAAAACTTCTCTCACCTGTCCTTTTCCTTGATACATAAACGGACGAAGAAGGTCAAAGAATCCATCCTCATTCGTTTTCCATCTTGGGAACGTGCGGTATGTTCCTGTGCTGGAAGGATTTAGATGGTCAGGAATTCCGCCGGATGGATTCTGGCATCCCATTTCGTTGGTGAACAAAAAGTTGCTAGTGGCAGAGGCAGGACAGACATTGAACTCGTCATTCAGACTTTTCTCAATAGATGTTGGCATATTGGCTTTGCCTATCACAAAGGGAACTGATTGAATGTTCGGCTTATCGCCACAATTCTGAAGTCTGTAAATGTATAGTTTGTAGTTTTGATACTGAATCGAATTTTATACCCTTGGCATTTATTAGCTTCAACCTTGTTTGGGCCAGGACTGACAACAGTTATGCTAGCGTCATCTTGAATCACAACTCTCTGTGGATGTGGATAGCATTCCAAGGATAAGTCAACACTCTGAGAGATTTGCGATGCATCGTGTCCGATATCTGTAGTCTTAAGGAACATTTTTCCACACTGTCCGGTCACCGTGAAAAATTGTCCACTTTTGTCATTTTGGATAGTAGGACCACGTCGAAATGTTCCAGCAGTGGTTGGAAGATAGATTGCTTGCGCTTCCTTTGGAGGAACATCCACAGCTGAAATATCGAATTTTTTGGGTTTTCTTAAATTCGAGTATTCTAACTTGCGTTACTATCAGATGACTGAGCGGTGACAAAAATAACGAGAAATAGCGATGACGTGAAGCCTGTAATTTGAAATTTTAGCTATCGGACCAGAAATTCTAAAAAATTCGGGAATTCTAAGAATATGGAAATTCTAGGAAATTTGGAACTTCTGAAAAAGTGGGAATTTTGATAAATTCAGAACTTTTGAGAAGTTCGAAATGCCTGAAAATTTTAATATTTTCAAAAACTCAAAAATTTTTTTGAAAATTCGGAAATATCTAAAATTTGGAAAAAATGAAGGTTCGAAAACCCGGAAAGTGTGGAAATTTCCAAAAACTAAGAAATTGTTTTAAAAATTAAGAAATCCAAAAACGTATAATGTTTCAAATTTCCAAAAAACTCTAGAAAATCTGGATAATCTAAAACTAGAAAATCTGGAAAATTCTAAAAATTCTGAATTTCTGAAAATTTCGAAATTTTCGGGGAATTCTTCGAAAATTCAGAAATTTTAAAAACTTCAAAAATCTGAATGTTTGGAAATCGCAAAATTGTGAAAGTTTTCAAAAAATTCTGAAATGCTAGGTCTCAAAAATTCAGAAATTTAAATTTTTAACATTTTGAAAAGTTCTGAAATTGAAAGAAAATCGGAATCCTGAAAATTTGGAAAAATGAAGGCTAGACAGTCGTGAAAGTGTGGAATTTTTCAAAAAAAAATCCGAAATTTTCAAAAATTCAGAAATCGAAAAATATGGAAAATTTAGGAAAATTCAGAATTTTCCAGAAACTCGGAATTTTTGAAAACTTCAGCTTTTTCGAAACTTTGGATATTCCAAATGTGTCCACTAGGAAAGGACTGAACCGTCTGCTTTCCCCTAGTTACCTCTCAAAATGCCGGTAATCATCATCATATGTTCGGAGGTCGTGTCGTTTCGAACACCACGGCGTCTTCCTCTTCTTTACAAGTGATTCCTAGATGCCGGAGCTGATTGAGCAGAGTAATCAATTCGCGTACAAATTTTCAAGTACTGAATCGACACAAGGTCTGGAGGGGACCGGACTAGTGGGACCTTGAAGACGTGGTGGCGCCAAAATCTCATGGCAAAAGTTTTGGGGGATGTCACGCAGGAATAGATAATGCGTGAGAATCTAGGTCAATATTGATTTTTTTTTCAATTTTTAGAAAAAAGAACATTTTAATGTAGGTTAATTAACACTTTTTTTTGGTAACTTTTCGAAAATTTCAGTAAAAAATTCATCAAAATTCTTTGAATCGCAACATTTCGCCTATTTTAAGCTTAAAATCCACCATTTTCGATCAATTTTTAGCTGTTTTTAGAGGGTTTTTGGAGCGAAAATCATCTGATTTTCTGGATTATTAGGCCGAAAATCTTTATTTTCAGCAATTTTCAGCTTGAAATATGCCAATTTTTGACTCAACAATCCATGCTTTTTTATGGATTGTTGAGTGATTTTTGAGCTCGAATATGCTCATTTGTCTCACTCACAGAAACTTTGTTCAGATTTTCAAAGAAATTTTGTAAGGTTACAAATCTATACGAAAGAATCATGAGGTTTTTTTCAGAGAAACGCGTCAAAAGCGCACCAGCCAAAGTTGAGAGGTCTTGAAGAATCTTGACATGACCTCCATCTGAATATTTCTGGAAAATTCCTATTCTCACCCTTTCACAAATATTTTCTATGTTTTCTTTTCCATCTCCCCAATTCACTTCTGACCTTTTTCTTCATTTTTTTCTCCCAAAACAAAACATTGAAGCAGATGTCCTTCCTCCGAGACACCCAATTTTTTTTTTCATTTTCACAACATTAGAAAAAGCACCTGTCCCTGAGAAAAAAAGAAACAAAAAGTTGACCAAAAAAGTGTTTATTGTTTTTTTGTTGGGTTACTGTAAAAGCCCACTCCTTAATCTTAAAACGGCTTACGGTTAAAAGGGTTACGGTATTCCCCTAGTCTCAAAGGACTCTAGAAAAAGGAAGAATTGGCTCCTTAGTTAGGATCAGAAGATTCTAGAAATTTCCAGTGAAATTTTCTTAGAATCCTTAAGCTCATCATTTTCCAAGAAGGATCCGTTCCTCTTCTTTTTCTTTATTCTCCTCTCACTCACAAAAATTTCTTAAATTAAGTCTTAAGTCCCCCCGGGTGGAATTTTTTAGAAGGAATTTTCTAGAAAGTTAGCCCTAAATCTCAGTCTCTCACAACACACTCATATACAACCGAAAACTACGAAACTGGGGGAAATTGGAAAAAAAGAAGGTGGAAATTGATTAGGATTATTATCCAAGGCGTTCGAGCTCGTATTTTGGCTCGATGTTATAGTGATTGGCATTGGTGACTTCTCGAAGGACATTATGTTGTTGGTACTTTCCGTTTTCCAAAGCAGCTAATCTCACTTTCAGCTCATTGTTTTCCTGGAAGAAAAAAGCTTTGGAAAGGGTTCCGATAACTTGACTCAATTTATTTCGGTTACTGTAAGATATATCAAAAAATGGTCAACTGATAAAATGTTGCTGATAGTGCGATACACATTTTATTAGTTCACCACTTTATGTTGATAAGAATAAACTGATAAAATATTTATCATATTATCACCAATATATTGTTAGTTGACTATTTTTCAATATCTTTTACAGAAAACAAGATATGAAGGCTCAAAGTTGACAAGTTAGCCCCTTACCTTTGAGCTATTTTATCTTGGTTACTGTAACAGCTATCAAAAAGTAGTCAACTAATATAATGTTTTTGATAATATGATGAACATTTTATTAGTAGACCACTTTTTGATATGTTTTACAGTTACAGAGATATATAAGCTCAAAGATGACAAGCCAGCGCTTGACGACAGAACCACGCGGTCGGCATCCGACCTCTTAACTTTGAGTCAACTTATCTCCGTTTTTGTAAAATATATCAAAAATGTTAAATTAATAAAATGTTGCTGATATTATGCTGAAAATGTTATTTGTTGACTAATTCTCGATATCTTTTATGGCAACCGAGATAATTGAGCTCAAAGTGCATTGATCGCACCATAAACCTACCATTACAAGCCTATTGAGCGCCTCTCTCATCTTGTCAACGTCCTCCACCGCTCTTTGATATAATTTAGTTGTTTCGGCGCACTTCTCCTTCAGTTCTTGATTCTCCTTTGCAAAATTCATCTCTCTTTCTTTTCGTACTTTTCTCGACTTCTTGGCGGCCAGATTGTTCTTTTGTCTTTTCTCACGATATCTGAAAATAGTTTGTTGATTATTCTGAAAATTCTGATTAGTCCTTTATCAAGTAGATATGAAGCTTCAACATCGGAAATCCTGATGGTGTAGTTTGTAGTCATCGTCGTCGTCGTCTTCCACAGTAGTATTCTGCTTCCGAGGAGTAACGTCTTCTGAAATAAACCTAAGCCTAAGAGAACCCCCCCCCCCCCCCTATCCTTTCTTCAAGGATTCAAAACTCATGATTAGTTCCTTAAACTTACCTCGGCGACATTTTTGGATCACCTCTACTATTCATCGATTCGTCAGATCCAGAGGAGCTTTCTGAGTGTCCGAAGATGTATCCGGGATAGACACCACCTGGGGTATTCGCGACGTTCGATTGAGACATTGCACTGGAAAATAGCGTTAAGTTGAAGAAGACTTGGTTTTAAAACAACCAGGGTTTGCCCTGGATTTTGGAGATCGTCGTCAGCCGAGGCCGGCCGTGGCAGAGACTAGAAAACTTAACAACGTGTACATCTTCTAATTATCCTAGCCCAATGTAGAGACATATTCCACCTGGGTAGCTCCAAAGTGCAACTGACGCTCAAGTGTAGGTACAGAGGTACGGTCTGAGTAATCATCCTGCCCCAATTTCGAAATTTTCAGACTCCTACAGTACTCCTACAGAAACATCTCTTGCCATAAAAATTAGAGCATGTCTAGCATGAAATACCGTAATCCTCCTTCTGCACATATACAGTTCTCGTAATACAGTACACCTACAGCACTCGTAATACAGTACACCTACAGCACTCGTAATACAGTACACCTACACCCTTACAGTATCCCACCTAGTTGTGATACACTTCTCGAAATCATCAAATTCCTTAACTATTAGATCAAGCGTACAGTACTCCTACAATTCGCCATGAAGATTTGAGCCCATACAGTAATTCCTTCACCTTCACCTCCTATTTGATACCCGCTTATATACAGTATTTTTTGATACCCGCTTATATACAGTACTCCTAGTACAGTATACCTGAAGTATTCCTACAGAACCCCCCCCCCCTTACAGTAATCCCTTTTATCTATATTCATCCATCTCCATCTCTTCCTTCCCCCTTGGGCACTTGTTTAGAGCTATAATCTCGACCATTCATCACAATAAGTGCCCCCTTCCCCTCCTTCGTTGTGTGACGTGGCAATCCCCCCAGATGACCCGACTCCCGCTGGTTGCGTAGCATACGGGACCTCTTTGAAGATCGGGCAGATGGTCCGTAACAAGAGGGCAAAAAACGAAAAAAGATGCAGGCCCCGGTAAAAATCGAACCAATGACCTGTAGGGGCATAGCCAGCTGGCTCACTGTTCGTGATGTGTGTCATACGTACTTCTAGAGGATCGCATATGGATAGGATCCTTTATGCGCAACATCGCCAGGACCTGTGAGAGTGTTATCCACTGCGCCATAAGGGTAGTTCATAGGTTATGGAGTGACGACGGATATGAATGCGGGGCTCGTTGGAGACCTTATAGAGACGTGGGGGCTACAATGTATATTGCCAAGGGGTCCCTTGGTTTATGACACGTGGCATGTCACCTACTATCGCTCCCTGTCACTACAGAAGATGTGCTGCCCATCCTATATTGCCCTATCGAAGAGAAGGATTCCCTAAATACCATAGACCTGTATTAGAAGGGCCAGCTCTTCTATACAGGTGTTACAGTATGTTTTAGCAACTTACAATGCGTGACTCCAGGCAGCTTGATTCCAGGCAGCTTGAGATTGGTCAAAATTCATTTGTGGATATCCGTGTGGTTGCATGATTAGGTAGTTTTCTGAAAGAATATAGGATGAGCAATCTTCCCAGAGGGCCAGAAAAAAGGGGGAAGAAGTGCCCAGGAGAGCAGATTGCGCAACCGAACGGCGACTAGGCAAAACGTCAGGTGTGACGCAACACGACGACTCGAGAGGAGGACCCCCTGGGCAAAGCTCCGCCCCCAGAAGTTCCCAGGAGAGAGGATGGAGACGCAGAGAAAGGCAGGGACCCTCGGGGGAACTGTTTGGTCGGTGAAGACGTACAGTGACGATAAAACATGGGGCAAGAATGAATGACTGAATGAGTGCGCGGGAAATAAGGAAAATGGGCTGAACCTGGAATTGAGATTGCGAGCAATGTTTGATTCTGAGCAAGTGCAAATAAAGTTGTATCTGTGACAGAAAAATGGGATTTAAGTAATTGCGAATAGTCATAAAGTCATGCGTAAGACCAGGTTGCGTAACAGGTACAATTGACAAATTAAACAAAATACACATGTAGTGATTGTTTAACATTAGGAGTTTTCGCGCATTTTGAATTACTGTGTTTGAGCTCAATTATCTCGGTTTCTGTGATAGATATCAAAAATTTGATAACTGATCAATTGCTTATCATAATATCACCAACATTTTATCAATTGACAACTTTTTTGTATCTTTTACAGGAAATGAGATAATTGAGCTTAAAGTAGTTAAGAGATTAGTAGCCGACCGCGTTGCTCATCCGATAAGGGCCGGCTTGTCAACTGTGAGCTCAATTAACTTGCTTTTTATAAGAGATATCAAATCTGTGTAAACTGATAAAATATTGGTGATGTTATATATTTTATTAGTTTACCGATTTTTTATATCTTTCAAAGAAATCGAGATAATTGAGCTCAAAGTTGGCGGTTTGGATGGGCTTCTGTAATAGGGACGTTGACACTGTCAACTTGACAGCACCCTGAAAGTGAAAATCTAAAAATAAAATAAAAATCCTAAAATAATCCGGTCCCCAATATGCTTTTTGTGGTACTGTTTCATTAAAAAGTCGTTTTTTGTAATTTTAGATTTTTTGCCATTTTTTCCGGAGAACTCTGAATCTTATGGACATTGAGACACTTGGATAAAAATACAGACTATATAATACAGGTTAGCCTTTCGGAGCCCTGCAGTTCTAGTTTCCAATTTCAATCGAAAATTCAAACTCTCAAAAAAAAGTTTTAATAATTTTTTGGTTAAAGTGCAACATCCGGTATCGGTTACATAACAGTTCATTAACATCCATGATTCCTTCAATCTAATAAAATTTTCCTTTAGGAAAAGTTCATGACAGTTTATGAACCTCACCACATATATGACAGGAGTCCTGTGATATTATCGGTCTCTTTATAGTGACAATTTAAGACGAGAGGTGCGATTGGAGTCTTTTGGGAAGGTATTGATTTTTTTTTCCCAGGAGACCCCCTTGTCGCATTTTTAGACGGTTTTAGACAGAGGGGGATTCTTTAGAAGTGTGAATTTTGGAAAAAGTATTTCTTATGCTTCCAAAATTACCTTTTACAGCCAATTTTTTACCTTTTACAAATTACCTTTTACAGCCAATTTTTCTCGGTTGCTATGAAAGATATCAAAAATCTGTCAACAGTTAAAATATTGCTGATATTATGATAAACATTGTATCCGTTGAAAATTTTTCAATATAATTTATAGGAACCGGGGTAATTAAGCTCAAGCAATTGACTAAACTAATCGAAAAACAATTTAAACTTGCTTTCAGGTCCTTTCCAAAACTGATCGAAAGCTTCTCGACCGAGGCACTGTACGGACCAGTCAGCCTCTCCACTTTTCCTCCTCGTCCATGTTCTTATTCCAATAAAAACATACAACATATTTTCCCTAATAAAACATAACAAATTGCATTGCGTGACAATGGGCATATAACCTCCATAATCTCAGTGATACTAAGCTGCTGTTGCGCTTATGTTGTATCAGTTTGTTTTCATTCTCGTGCTGGGCGATTTGTTGATTCTAAAGGTGTAAGATATTGGAGGGAAAATGAGATCCTTTCCAGAAGAAAATTCGAGTCCGGAGTGGATGAGCGGCATCGTGAAAACTGTAATAGAAGGGCACCCACACTGTAAAGTTTCAGTTGATTTATCTCACTTTTTGTGAAAGCTATCGAAAAGTAGTCAACAAACGACTTGTTTATCATATTATCATCAGCATTTTATTAATTGACAACGTTTTTATATATTTGACAAGAATCGAGATAAATCGACTCAAAGTTGAAAAGTCGCACTTGTCGGCTCAGCTACGCCGGCGGCTCGAGCTCTTCACTTTGAGCCCAAAAAGCTCGCTTCCTGAGAAAGCTACCTAAATTTTGTCAACTGATACGTTGTTCATCATAATATCAGCAATATTTTACTAGTTGAGAACTTTTTGATATCTTTCACAGAAAACGCGGAAAATTGGTTCAAAGCTGAAAGTTTGCTTCTACTCCCGTTTTGACGGTATCTCAATTGAAGAAAGTGTATACCAGAAAATATTCCGAAATTATATAAAAATCTCAACTACCGTAAAACCTGTATTAGAAGGGCCCCTTAAATTGAAGGGCCCCTCTAATTGAAGTGCCCCCCCTTTAGAGACCTCACGAAAAATAGAAGTGCTCCCTCTATTTGAAGGGCCCCTCTAATTGAAGTGCCCCCCCTAGAGACCTCACGAAAAATAGAAGTGCTCCCTCTATTTGAAGGGCCCCTCTAATTGAAATGCCGCTTTGACTCTCCCCTTTGATTTTCAGCCGTTTTTTTTCCGTTGTTTTGATTGAATCATTGTCTAATTTTTGAAAAACTGGCACATGAGTATTCGAATGCCGTCGCTATATTACAGATTTTCGTCTCGTTCGAGCGATTTCCGTTTGGATTTTCAATTTGAAAAAGTTCTAGAAATTCCAGCGAATTTTACCAAGAACCCTGAATTTTTTTCAGAAAATTTGACTACATTGAGAACAATTAATTTCGTTCGATATAATATGGGATTTGAGGGCGGTGCCTCGTAAATCGGTACGAACTGCGCTCAGGTGCCAGTTTTTAAAAATTTGACAATATGAGAAATTTTGTTTTTATGGAGAAATTGTAATGGAGAAGAAAAACGAAATTTTACTGAAAAATGATGCCCCTCCAATAGAAATTCTATTCTCAGCGACTTTTTAATAAGAATGGTATTTTTTAATAAGAATGGTATCTTTTTTCCGGAACTATAAAATTTCAGAATCAGTTAAACGATTCTTCCGGAATTCACACTTCTGAAGAAACCTTCTTTTGCTATCTTGAACCGTGTCCATTAGGTCTCCTGGGAAAAAAAATCAATACCTTCCCAAAAGACTCCAATCGCACCTCTCGTCTTAAATTGTCACAATAAAGAGACCGATCATATCACAGGACTCCTGTCATATATGTGGTGAGGTTCATAAACTGTCATGAACTTTTCCCAAAGGAAAATTTTATTAGATTGAAGGAATTATGGATGTTTGTCATATTGGGGAACCGATACCGGAATTAACATTTTTGACCGGAAAATCGAAAAAAGAGTTTTTGATAATTCGAATTTTTCTTGGAAATTCTAATTTTTTTTAGATAGTCTGTATGTTTATCCATATGTCCCGATGACCATAAAATGAATATATTGAAACCGGTAAAAGAAGGGCACTAAGTTTGAGCTCAATTATCTCAATTCCTATGCAAGCTATCAAAAATATGTCAACTGATAAAGTGATTGTGATGTTATGATAAACAATTTATTAGTTGAAACATTTTTGATATCTTTGACAGGGACAGAGATAAATTGGATCAAAGTTAAAAGTCAGAGGGGGGCCCTTTCATTACATTTTTTACGGTATTGAAAAATTCTTTACAACTTTTTCAGTCATCTTTTGGAAAAATCCGAAAAAAATCCGTTATTGTAGACTGTATCAGTCATTAGACTCAAAAGTGCTTCTTTTAAATTTTGCAAATTTCTGCAATTCTGTAAATGTTGGTGTTTTCTACTGGCTAGTGTTTGGATTACATACTTTAATATTTTCGAATTTTCACCAAAATAAACTATATATCTCCTTTTTCGTATTATTTCCAACCGGAAATCAGCGATTTGAAACTATGAATTTTTCCAGTTCGACGCATTTCCAGTTTCTTTAGATATTCATTTTTCCTTTCCGATTTCCTCCAACCCACTAATTTTCTGATAACCTTGAGATCCGAGGTGGACCATATTGAACTTTGTCCTCTCTCTCCAAATCTTCAACCTTCTGCCACGTCAGCATTCTGCCACGTCCTCACATAATTATTAGATTCTGTCTGACCTACTCTCTCAATAGTCCACACTATTTCACTCCAAAAACTCATCGATCAAGAAAAAAGAGAAGGAAGGAAGAGTTATAATCATCTCGGGACCATCTGCACCCCACCTATCTCCAAAAAAAAACCTCTCATTCCCGCACCTCATTAATCCCCTCCATCCATCTACAGTAATCTATTATCTCTGCGTCTCTAGTGCTATTCACACTCTCTCGGGACCACCTGCAGATGGTGAAGTGCCATCAAAGGAGGTGTTTCCCGCACGTTTTCATGTTTGTTTAGAGGAGAGAAAGACTAGAATAATGTGTTGAGAGAACTCAGCACGTCTTCTGGGAACGTCTTCTGGGCAAAGACAGACAGAGACATTTTTTGACACATCCAGCTGTGTGTTTGTAATGGGTGGTGGAGATAAGATTAATAGGACCATTTGGACCACCATTCAGACCAAATTGGGTATTTTGAATGATGGAATATGAGTGGTTATTAGGTGTAGATGAATGCTGGGGGTTTCTGGGAACATATCGAGATTGGCTAGCTAGATTAGGGGTCCCAACAATCGATGATTCAAATTTCAAGGGTGTTTTCAAAACTCAAAATCAAATCTAATGGATAAATGATCCAAAACCCTTTCTATTTTTTGATACACCAAATATTCGAGTTGGAGAAATACTCAATTTCTCAATTCTAAAGTTTTCAACTTCCGAATTTCCGAAATTCCGAAATCCTGAAAATTTACAATCGAAACTTTTGCAATTCGAAAACCCTGATGTTCTGAAATTTTACTCTAGTTAAAATTTGAATTTTGAAATTCGAGAGTTTTTAAATTGTCCAGTTTTTGATTTTCTGAATTTCTTACTTTCTGAATTTTCAATTTCCTAACTTCTGGATTTCCGCACTTTTGACTTTTCGAATTTTTGGAAATTTCAAAAAATTAGAAACTCGGAAATTCAGAAAATTCAAAATTCGAAAGTTCCAAAAGTTGGGAAATGGATAAAAACTTTTTATTAGTTGACAACTTTTTGATATCTTTCAAAAGAAGTGAGCTATTCAGGCTCAAAGCAGAAGGTCCGGGTGGCGTTCTATTAGAATGCTTACGGCAGTTCCGAAAACTGAAAAAAAACCCAACGATTCGAAAATTTTCAAAGTTGGAAAATCATAAAAATCGATAAACCAGAACTTTAGAAGTTGCATTAGAATTTTTAATTTCGGAATTTCAGAGTTCAGAATAAGTTCAGTATCTTAAGATTCCTAATTTTCCGTGTTCCCGAATTTCTACATTTTTCGATTTCCGGGTTTTTAAATTCTCTGATTTTCTAGTATTATTCTAGTAGTATTATTTTAAAAACCGGAAATTCTAAGTCTTCAAATTCCCGAAAATGTTAGATTTTTTGTTTTTCTAAATCCTGAAATATTTCAAACCATAAAATTTCCGAATTTCCGATTTTTCGAACTTCCAAATTTCCAAACTTCTGAGTTTCTAAACTTCTACAGTGACCTGCAACTATTTTTCCTGCTGCTTTCTCAAATTTCGGTTTTTTTTCCTTTTTTCAGAAATATTTCAATCTTAAAAATGTCATTTTCCGACTCTATTGACTCGAAAATTGAAAAAAATCAGGATTTATATTTACAGATTACTGTAGTTTTGTACTCGTTCTCTGAAACTGCGTTTTCTTAAAATTTTCCGGCCAATGTATTCTCCAAGTTCTTTGTTTTTTTTCCGATGTCCTCCGAAAGATTCCATCACATAGGAACTTCTAGAGACGCAGACACTTTGAATAGTAATATAAGAAGGTCACCAGGTACCCAATTATACTACTTTCCCCGGTATCGATTGGAAATTGTTGTATTTTTTGTAATCTTGCTGTGATAATGAATGATAGCAATGGATTTGTAAGTTTTGAATTAATTTTCGAATTTTTCTTTTCCAAAAAATTTCAGGAGACCCGCCAGCAATCGGTGTTCCAAACCATGCAACGAATGCGTGACAAAAAAACTGAAATCGCTGAAACCCTTCGGGAACTAGGAGTTGGCGATGTGCAGGATGATAAGTCGGTGAAAGACCTTATAGAGCATCTGATGAACGCGTATGATTCGTTGTGTACACAGGAGAAACTATGGGCGGAGCTGCTGGAGGATTTGAACAAATTGGAGAAAAAAGAGGAATGATAATTGTTATTGATGATGAAAAAGAAAAAAGAAGAGAAAGGAATAAATAAAATAACATTAAAACTCATATTAAATGTTCAACAATTGATTTATAGAGATGCTAGATTTTATGATCTGTGCGATCGATGTCCACGATCCCCTCGATCCCGTCCAGCCTTCACTGGTTCGGCAATTCTCGACGACTTCGGAAGATCCTCTCGTTTCTCTTTTTTCTCTTCTTTCCGTTCTCGATCTTTTCTGGAAGACGATGACGTGGCAGCTGGAGTTTTTGGAGAATCCGATAAATCGAACTCGATGGTCTTTCTAGAGCTCTTCTTATCATCTTTTTTCTCGTCTTTTTTAGGCTCGGGGAGCTGAAAATGGAATTTTATTTTCTAAAAACTTTTCTGAAAACTCACCGCCGGTCCAGCGACTTCTGCTCTTTTCTCATCCTTCTTCTGGTGCTCCTTCTCCTTCTTCTCCTTCCCATCTCCTCCATTCTCCTTCTTCCGATCCTTGTCCTTTTCCGATGATCTTTTCTCCTTATCCTTCCTCTCTCGACTCTTCTCCCTCTTCTTTTTCGATCCTTCTCCTTTTTCCGATTCTGTATCCTTCACCTCCTTCTCATCTTCGGGATGCTTCAGTCGATCCGTGATTCTAGTCTTTTTGGCTGGAGGTGGGCTGGTGGTTTTGGTCTCTTCGTCTGCCTTCTTAGAAGACGTTGAATCTGAAGACTTCCCAGGTCTCTTCTTCCTATCCTTGTTCTCATCTGGAGTCGTCGTGGTGGTTTTCTTCTCCACTTTCTCCGAACCAGCTCCATTCTGTTTTTCCTCTTCTTCCTTCTTCTCTTCCTTCTTCTCCAAATTCTTCTCCGACGACGTTCCATTCTTTTTGGCATCCACCTTGAGCTTCTTATCAGCTGGCTCTCCCTCCTCCTTATCACTCTTCTTCTTTTCCTTCTTCTCCACCGTCGACGCCTTCCTATTGGGGACGTTAGCGAAATCCGAGTTCTGCGCGTAGATTTTGACATTTCTCATTTTGAGTTTTCCAATGTAAGATGCTGCTTTCAGTGAAAGATCATCTCGTTTTCCCTTCTCTCGCTCCTTCAACTTCGTTGCCGTTGCCTCCATAGTAGCCACATTGGCAGCTATCAACGGGAATCCAGTTGTCAATTTGGTCATCATAATGAGACTATTTCGAATCAGCACATAATTCGAGTCTTCTTTACTCAAAACTGACTTGAACATGAGCGTAAATCGAGTCTGCCATCGATAGCATAGCTTTCGGAATGTTTGATATTCAATCGCATTTTTCGTTATCATTCCAGGGAATCCAGCGCATTCCTTCTCGAAAATTTCCTTCTCCGAATGCCATCGTTGAGTGAGGCCTAGCAAGATTTCAAAGAAGCAAGCCAGCGCATTGGCCTCGTCTTCAGTGAGTCCAGCGATCAATGGGATGGTGTTTTCGAAGAGCTGAAATTGATTATTATAGGGTGTTTGCTAATCAAGGGCTCACCCTGTCTATAATAACTATTGACGGGAAGAAAGGAGTCCGCATTTCGTGTAGCATCTTGAAGAACTGTCCGCAAAAGACGGCGTCTAGTTCGGAGAAGATGGCACGTGGCAGTAGGCATTGTTGTATCAGCACTTCGAGTACAGCTGAAACTTCGAGGGAGTTATTTTAATTACTGTAAAACCTGTATTAGAAGGGCCGGTCTTTCTATTACAGGGGCCCTTCAATTAGAGGGAGCCCTTCCCTTCATTTTCCGGCAGTTTTTCTTGAGATTTTTTATCGAAAATTTCGACGAATTTTCGTTCAAAATACGGAATTTCTCTGATTTCAAGACACATTTTGGAAGGGGTCCTTCTTCACACGGGGCTCTTCTATTTTGCCAAACCCCTCTCCGAGGGCCCTACTATTAGAGTGGCTCTTCTATTAGAGGGTCCCTTCTATTAAAGGAGCCCTTCTGATACAGGTTTTACGGTATTTTCAAAGCGAATTCTGAAAAAAATTGATTTTTCTTCGATTTTTTGCAAAATTTTTCGACCTTTTAAGGTTTTTCAGCTAGTTTTGATGATTCCTTATTGATTTCTCCAAATTTTTTCTCTGAACTTCGGCAAGATGGTGTTCTTGACGGAAGGTTACTGTAGGTTACTGTAGAAAATTTTACATATTTTGTAGTTTTTTTACAAACACAATCACGTCAAAATGCAGGCAAAAAACTTTGCACAACTAGAAAAGGAAATTGAATTTCTACAGTAATCTACAGTAATCACAAACCGTTCCATCAAATTTTAGACAATTAAAACCGGAAAACTCGAGAAAGGATCTTTGAAAATAGCTAGAAAACCTAAAAAGGTCTACAAATTTTGCGAAAATTTGAAGAAAAAATCGCGGGAATTCGAAAAACGATTCGAGAACATTCCAGAAGTTTTGCCTTCAGGAACACCAGATACTCACAATTATGGAATTTCTCATCGATCAACGAATCCTTTCGACTCAGAAGCCACGCTTTACACCTCTCCACATGCTCCGTCTGCCGCTTCTGCTCTTCTCGAAGCTTGCTCTCCAACTGCTTATCCGTCTTTTTTGGTTTTCCATGACTATCATCCCTAGATTGCTTTTTCATTGCCTCCAAAGTACGGTCATATGCAGATGTGGGAACTTCAATGTCATACATTGTCAGCATCCAGAAGACGGCGAAGAATCTGAAACTAATTATCGTTTGCTCAATTTCCTATATGTTGATCCTAACCTGACTGGAACGCTCTCCTCCATCGCTGAATTCGCTTCCTTCAAATCATTCATCAACGCTTCTATCTGTGCTTCCAGTGCATTTGTGAAGATCTCTGTCTTTTGCTGACTATCCAGTCTTGTCTTCTTATCTCCTCCTGCTTCTGCATCAGCTGCCGCTTTTGACACCTTCTTCGCTGAATCATAGTTGTCGAGAATGCGCGAAAAGAATGTGGGTCTTGCCAGACACATGGTAGCCTCCATTCCCAGCGAATAGTCCGCAATGAGCTCTCGAACCGAAGGAACTCTCTTGGCAAAGTCCTCATTTCTCATGTAGACACTCAAAAATGAAACCAGCTGCTGGAAGGTGTCACTGCACTGATCAACCATCTTTCCAACCAGTTTCAGCGGAAGTGTCGAGCTCTCATTGTACATGATATGCTCTTTCTGCTGAGCAATCGAAATGCAAAGTCCCACTGCAAGGTCTCCTTTTAGAAGAGCATCCCGAAGACGTTGAGCTGCTTTTCGATTCTTTGTAGCTGTTGAGTATCCTCCTGCTTCTTGTCGTAAGAGATCTCCACCTCCAAGTGCTTCGATTTGTTCTTTAGTTGCTCCACTAATACTCTCGATCCATGACATATTTTGAATGATTTCTCGCAGAAGGAGCATATCATAACTTTTACAGAGTTTCAGCTGGTTTAGAACGTAATCCAACATTCCGTTGAGTTCAAGAGGATAACGACGGTAAAGGGATCCGACCAGTGTCCCAAGGGCTTGAAGCCAAGGGGAGATTGTGGCATCTGTAGACTTGAGAGCCTGCTTAGAAGGATCTGCTAGCTGAGAGATGATGCAGTCTGGAACATAAACCGTAACTTAAAAAAAGCCTAAACAAATACTTACAAGTTAGAACATCAAACTCGAGACTTGTCAAATATCTCAAACTGTCTACCACTGGTCCGATGAAATTATCAAAGGTTTGCACTTGACTGAGCAGGTAGGAGAGTACTGTAGACGGATGGATATGACACAGTTTTCCCAGTTGACGACCCATCATTTTCACTGTTTCTTTGGACAGCCGTTTCAGAACATATTTGGTTCTTCCATGGACTTTTCCTCGCATAATACTCATTTCCGGATGTCTCATCGTTTCGTGATTCCATTTCGAGTACATCCAATATCGCCACGAGTAGGGGAATAGTTGAAGGAGTTGCCAGAGTTCTTCGCTTAGAGCTACATTGGTGTCGGAGAGTGTTAACGAGGGGAGGAGACATTCGGAGACCAATTCCACGAATAATTCGTTCACTGGAACAATCAGGTTTGAGGATTCAGGTTGAATAAGTCCGGAGATGTTCGGAATCGGAATTTTTCACATTGTCAAAAATTCCGAGTTTCAATATTTCAGAACATCGGAATATTCCGATTTTGAAAAATTCGTAATTTTGAGGTTTCACTTTCAAATCACAAAGAGGCCCCCAAACTCCGAGTAAAAGATTTTCAGGGAAATGTGGGCGGAGTCTAAATTCCAAGCTGCGCACGATTTTTCTCATCGAAAAACTGTGCACAGTTGGTAAACTTGGCTCACTTTTCCCAAGATTTTTTATATTTGCAATTTGAGGGGACACATCACAAAAGCGCGAAAAATTCGTGATAAGTTGACAAACAGATTTTGAAAACGTCCAAAAAGCATCGAAAATATTCTGGTCAGAATATTCGGAATTCCGTTCCGAACATCTCTGAAAAAAAGAAACTTACACTTCTCATCCTTCTGCAATTCTCCTTTTTCAACTTTCTGATAGTAAGCAGTGAGGAGACGAAGGATTTTAATGTTGGTTGTTGCTCGATAAGCCAGTCGTGGGCCGAGATAGGCGAGAATAGTAACCAGTTGACCCAGATCATCCCAGCTGTCAATCTGAAACGTCTCTTTTAGGAATGTCTCGCTAAAAGCTTTTTTGACTACAAACTACAGTTTTTGATTAGATACTACAATTTAACTTTTTTTTCAAATCAAAACCCACCGGTTTCAAACCGTTGCCCATATCATCGAGCACTGGTTTCTTTGACTTTGTCAACTCTCCAAACAAATTCAACGAACAACTCTTGCGATAAAATGCATCGATCGACCTCTCAATGATTTTGCAAAGAGCCCGACAGACTCTCGGACTCGCTTGAACTGCATAGTACTCTGGAAGTCGATCTATCAAATGTTGTGCTTGTTTCCAATTTCCATTCTCTAGCAGAGCACATGCAAGTCCCAGTTTTTGATTCGATGCAAGCACTGATTCCTCGTTGAATCCCTCGGCGAGCTTGGCATCCTCATCTTCTTGTAGTTGGATTACTGTAGTGATGGAGATGGTGACGACTGGACCGCCCATTCCGATTTCGGAATCCGTCATTGGGATGGATGCGGTGGAGATGGTTTCCGCTTTCGATGCACGTTCCTGAGCGTTTACCATTCGCGCTTTATGCGATTCTTTGATAGCTTCGGCTTTTGGAATCATCTGGAAATAGATAAAATAGAGAATTCGAAGATATCAAAGAACCCACATAAGCCAAAATCTTCATCAGATCAATCATCTCGTGTTGAATCAAATACGCCGTCAGCACATACAATGAATACGGTGTCTTCTTCTTTTCCGACTGATAAAATGTGTATTTGAAGCCAAGAATCGCGCAAAGATACTCTGGAACCACATCGATCTCCTTCAGAAGTGATATAAAAAACATTTTCTGTTTCGGGAAAATTTCGAAAACTTCTAGAATTATGTCTGTCACTCGATTCGGATCCAAATTGAATTGTCCAATCAGTGATAGCACCCGATGCTTTATCACTTTGGCAAAATCGTCATGCGCAGAACAGTTTTCGGAGGACTCCATAAGCTCTGTTATCAGTTTTGAATATCCTTCGGACTCCTCTCGAAACAGGTTGAATTTCGCTTGTTTGAAGCTGAATTTTTAGAATTTTTTCAGTTAATTAGAAGGGGTTTTCACTCACTATAACTTGGTTTTCAGTCGAATCAATCCCTTATTGTGCTCATCTCTCTTGCAACAATCGAGTTCGAGACGCAGAATCTCTTCGGGGATGATCTGAAAATTTTGATTCAATTTGAAGCATAAAATTTTGAAAACCCACGGTGTTGGTAAGAAGATGCACAAATGACTCAAAGTTAGCTTTCGAGGTGCTTGCGTTTTCAGCGAACTCACTCTCCGGCTCGGTGAGCACGAGCACATCGACCAGATCCGAGCTCAGCGCCTCGCGTTCATTCTGGAATTAAAATTTACGAATTAAAGCTATTTTCCGGAACAGAAAAATTTTAATTTTACGATTTTAATTATTATAGATGTTTAATAGATGTTTGAATTCTCGACTTTTAAGTTAATTTTTAAAAATCGTTCCAACCTTCTTCTCAAGTATCCGCTCGAATCCCTCTGCCGCAGTGATTTTCATATGAACAATGTCGAGACATAATTGAGTTAACACTTCGAACATTTCCATGGTTTACAATTATCTGAAATTTATATTGCTTATTTATTGTATTTTAGTCAATAATCAAAGAAAAAAATTTGGCAGCTAAATAGCCAAAGGTGTACGCGGACAGCGAGAGAGTGTGCGAAACGAAGAGACGAGGGTGGAAGAGCGAGAGAATCCTAGGCCAGCGAGAGGAAATGAAAAAATTTTTCGCGTAAAATGACGGATAATCTGAAGATCCTTGCCGGATAATCCCGCTGATAAGCAGAAAAAATGAAAGTAGTCACACTGGCTTCTCATGAAAATCTGCTCACGGCGAGTTGTGAGCTGTTGAATTCAGTGAGTTTTTTAAAACAAGGAATTGACCTAAAAATTGAGCTAAAAATTGGTATTATGCAGGAATGGCCACGAAGCATGGGCTCTCGGGAGCACTCGCAAAAGAAATCATGTCGAGAGTCACCGCCAATGTCGTTCCTTCTGCTGGATTCAGATGAAAAGTTGATAGGGCACGCCAGAATTTGTAAACTTCCGAATCGGTGAGTTTTCAACTTCTAAAATCTGAAAATCTGTAGTCTCCTTTGGAAACTTTCAAGCACTGAGGTAGAAACAAGGCCTTTGAATCTAGAATTGATTAAAAAAAAGCAAAAAAAGGGGCTAAGGTAGTTGGGGGGGGCCACTTTTTTTTCGTTTTTTGAGGCTAATTTAGTGTCTCTGGGGTAGAAAAGAGCGGCGAAGAAGCCTAAGCCTATTTTTTAGACAAATTCCCATCTAAAAACACAAAAAAAAATCTTCTAAAAAATTTTTTTTACCGGTTTTTCGTATTTTTTACCGATTTTTCGCTCATTTCTCGGAAGTTTTTGTTTTCTGGGATCCACGTTTGTTCAAAATTCCTTTTTAAAGTCTGAAAATGGAATTTTAAAATCATTCTTCGTCCTCGAGAACTACAAAATTTCTTGCTCACTCTAAATTTAGATTACTGTAGCTCGAAAATGCTAGCTGTTATTAGCTGTTTTTGCTGTTATTCGCTGTTATTAGCTAGTATTCTAATATTCGCTATGACTGCCGTTGCGGCTATATTAGACTTAAAGTCTTTTAACCTAATCAAAACCTGGCCGGAGCTAGCCAACAAAACCGACGACGAATTCGATGAGACGGAGAGACGGTTCAGATCGATGAAACAAACATTGTCAAGAGAAAGTATAATGTGGGAAGGATCGTTCGTAATGGATGGTTAATAGGCGGTATCCAGAATAACACTCGTGCCGTTTTTATCGAAATCGTCGATAAAAGAGATCAAGCAACGTGTGAAAGAATCATTCAACAATATGTTGCTCCAGGCACAACAGTCATCACTGACTGTTGGCGAGGATACAACGGACTCGCGGCGCTAGGTTATGATCATAAAACAGTGAACCATTCTCAAAATTTTGTGGACCCTGCCACTGGTCTCCATACGCAGAGAGTTGAGTCGCTTTGGAGCCATTTGAAGCGTAGAATCAAGCCAAAGTGCGGCCTTAAAGGAGATTTATGGGATGATCACTGGTTTGAAGCTTTATGGCACTTCAAGCACCACGAAGAGGCGAAGCTCTACGAGCTTTGGGCTGAGATCGCTAGAAGATATCCACTCACTTAAAATTCTTCGATGGTTCCGAAAATTGTTGTTGTTTTTAATGTCATTAATCAATAAATGTTAAGAAAAAGTTTTTTTTGAATTTGGCGCCAAAATGCGTGTGTCCCAGAGGAAGGGAAACAAGGGGTTTTTGCCTAAGCCTATTATTTAAAACAAAAA